TCCCCTGTGGTTGTGAGCCGCCCTGAGTCCCCTCAGGGAAAAGGGCGGCATATAAATCCCAATAAACCTCAAAACCTCAAACCTCAATAGTTGGAACAAAAAAAACCCTACTGAACTCTTCAAAGATTTGTTGTCCTCCCAATTTGTCAAGCTTTGTTTCTTGGAAAATGAAAAAAAGCACAAATAATTTGAATTTCAGTTAACTACCTAGTTAGAGGAATTCTACGGCTTCACTTTTAGCCAAGATTGATGTTTGACAAGCAAGTTGCATCCAACTTTTCTAGCCTTCTCACAATCTCTGCAATGTGAAGTGGATGTGCATCTTAAATTGAGAGAGATTCCATATGACAAATGCCAACATTTCATGGAATATGATATAAATTTGTCAACATCTTGTGATTTGGACTGTAACACATAACTACACTGAAATATGATCAATCTTTAAACCTCTATCATATTAATTGTTGAAGAACCAAAATCATATTAATTGTTGAAGAAACAAGCTGTTGAAAGTATGGGAGAGGAAGAACATTTCCTGTTTCCTGTATGTATGATTACTAAGACTCTTTCTTTAATGTTTATTAAGGCACCCAGTTTAACAAGTTCATTTTAGTATTATGCAAAATGAAGCACTCTATGCTTACTCTTAAAATCTGAAACACTACATCTAAGATCATGTTCTGCTATTAGTGTGACAGGATTTTGAAAAAGCCTTGATGTTTGCAAGCTAAAAGGTGAAAAGATTTAAGGAAGTGATACTTGCCTGCTGCATTCGTGTATAGTTTTACCAAGAAATAGAAAATGGATATATAAGAGAAAAATACTTATGATAGCCCCAAGTTTTCTCTTTATACAATGTAATTTAGATTAATTAAAAGTGATCCAAGTAGAGATGGTGTATTTTATTTTTTGGCAGGGAGCTAGCATCCAGATTTATTTCAGTTCTACAGAGGAGTAAAGATGATAATCTTGATTTTTTTAAACTTAACCAGCAAATGTTATTCCAAACTCATCCAAATGCTTTTAAGATTTACATTACAACTAAAACTGATCAATATTTGAAGTGTGCAAATCAATCCATTTTCTTCCCACACATGTTTCTAAGATTTAATTGATTTTGGAGAATATTTTTCCATCTACCAAATTCAGTATTAGACTCCTTTATCAGGCCANAGAGAGAGAGAGAGAGAGAGAGAATAAAAAGATACTAAAACTTCTGTCTGTGATTTCTAGATGCCACAAATTAATCCTCAAGTCATCCGCAGACAAGTATGTTTCATAATCACTATTAATGGAGATAGAATTGATGTGATACGTGTGAGCATTGGCAAATATTCTTCGAGGGCTGGCTTCCACCATGAGATCCATGGGTCTAAATACTGGCACCTGTAAACCAAAGGATTGGGAAAAAAAATGTGAGCAATTATAGAAAAATCTGTCCGGGAAGAGCAGGCAAAACTGGGGGCAAAGTTAAACATGTCATCAGTTTAGAATCATTATATTGACAAAAGCAATCCAAGCCCAGCCCCTCCCCCTTTGAATTCTGTTAACCCTTAGCTGGGGCCGATTCAGATTGAATTTTAGTTGACAAGATTCTTGTCAACTGACTATTGAATCCTTCTGAATTGCAACTTAATGCACACTCCTTATCCTTTGTACCTGATATCAGTTCAGTATCAACAAATTAAAAGGAGGGAAATCAGGATCTCCCTATATGGAAACATCAGAATGGGTTGGGGCATAAAAATCAGGCAAAAGCAGGGAATACAACCCATTCATACTATGATGCCCAGCCCTGTGTTACTCACCCGTAAAGTAGTGACTGTTGTGGGGTCTCTATACCGGCCATCTTCTTCTTTTAAGTTGTAGCCTTCCGGCCGTTTATCTCTTTCACTGATTTTCCATAATTTTATTGTTTTGTCTGAAACACATTAAGGTAACGTGGGCTGTTGAGAACCTCCAGCCCTTTGCCAGCAGAACTGATCACAGAATATGTAATACGATTCATGCCTTATAAGAACCATGGTGGATATTTGGTGTGGTTAGAAATAACTACCGATAACAGGGTTGCTTTTTTGGAACTTACCACCCCGGTGGCAGTTCAGAGCCTTTTCTGTGACTGTTAATTCCAGACACACATGCAGATGTTGGATAATTTGCACTTCTAACTTGCCTTGGCAGTGCCATTTCAAGAGATGCCTCCAGGTCTCCAAATGAAATGAAACAAAAGCCCCAGGTTCTCGGGTGGGATTTCAGCAATATTAGACAATTAGAATTAGAAAATTCTCAGTTTCAACATGGCCCCTGGGATTTGAAAAGGATTGCCAGGACAAAAGGCATCAACCATTCAAGAGCTTTGCAAAAGGCAAGAGATCAAAACCCCTGATTTTTGGTGCTTGGAACATAAATGTCAACTCTGTGGAGGCAGAGCAAACCAGGAAGTTATTTATGTTACAGGTAGTTCTCAAATTGTGACCATTTGCTTAGCAACTATTCAAAGTTGCACTGAAAAAAAAAAGGAACTAGTTGTCCCGGGAGTATCACAACATCCCTATGGTGGTGTGATCAAAATTTGCATGCTTAGTAAGTGGCATGTATTTGCGAGAGTTGCAGCATCCCAAAGTCATATGAGATGTCTTCTGACAAATGCAAGCCAATGGGGAAGCTGGATTTGCTTAACAACTATGTGGTTAACAATTGCAGTAATTCACTCAACAGCTATGGGGGGAAAAAAGTTTGTAATATTAGGTATGATTTCCTTAACAACCTTAAGAACAGTAATTCCGCCCCCAATTTTGGTTGTTAGTCAAGAACTACCCAAACTCTAATCCTATGTCCATGATGGCACTTGTGCCGGAAGTGGCAAGCAGAGCCATCTCTCTGGGCACGTCAGCCGTTGCTCGGGGGCTGGTTTCTGGCATGCGCATACGCCCTGGCCAGTTGGTCTTCGTCCACACATACGTGCCAGAAACCACCAGACCAGGTGACCGGCACCCATGTGTGCATCAGGGAATTGCTCTTCTGGTTTCCAGTGCTCCCACATGTGCATGCCGGGGAGCTGCTTTTCAGGTCTCCGATGCGCCTGCACTCGCGTTTCGGCACTCAGTGCCAAAAAGTTTTGCCAACACTGCCGTATGTTAAGAAAATATACAGTAGCTATTCTATACCCAAACAAATAAACTGGATTTCGGATCATTTTTGGAATCACCAAGTACTTAATCCTATTTTAATTTAACTGAATAAATTGTGCCAACTCAACCATGCTGTAGGCTCATTGGGGCACCTTCCCTTAATCTTGGAGCCTTCTAGATGAAATGGACTTCAACTCCCATGATCTCCAGCTAGGGAATCTGGAAATCAAAATCCATCCCATCAGGAAAGTACTAGGTGAAAGGCATCTAATAGTTAGTTAAAGGGGATTATAAAGTTTATGCTGAAAGCTTTACAGAAGAGCTTGAGCTGATATCTAAACAAGTGTACTCTTGTTTGCACACATTACTTAAAGCATCCTGCAGAAGCACAACAAGAAAAGCTGATTTCTGTCCATATAGCAAAACCCTTTTTGAATGTTCAAAGAAAGTTCATAGAAGAAGAACTTAAGAAGGGGTGACTTGGATGTGTTGTGAGGAATAAACCAAGAACCAAAGGACAATAGTCACAGGGATCCTGGTTTAAAAAGTAGCAGTCGTGAAGGAATGCAAAATAATAGATGAATTTGGGTTAGAGAGATGAACAAAAAGTATTCTAGTTTTTCTAATTCAAAATATAAATGCACAATACAGTTACACTTTTAGATTTGCTTCGAGGCAGGATTGCTTGGAAGGAAAAGGACTAATACTATTCACATCTTTTCAAAGGCTGCTCCAATTCTCAGGAATCAAGGATGAAAGAGAGGCAACGAGAACAGGTCAGAAAGTGCAAAGAAGAACAAAAAATGTTACAGCAGTAGTAAGAATACAGCAAGAACCTTATCTGATTGATTGGTTATAATTTTTATATTACTCCTATCCTGTAAGCTCTGAGAACATCAAAACAACAACACCACAGAATTCAAACTCTATAGCTTTCAAAATAATAATAGTACTCTATATCAGCGGTCACCAACTGGTGTTCTGTAAGAAAATTTTGGTGGTCCGCAGAAAAATTATTTGCATTTTTATATTGCACTAAATTAGTGCAATATTCAAACTACGGCCCCTGGGCCGGATACATTTAATGAACATTTGTGTTGCTGCAGAGTCTCCCCCCCAAAAGGGTCTTCTTGTGTGGGTTGGAGGGGGGCATAAATTCCGACTTGGGGTCTGCTTCAGCCTGCTGGTGTGGGGCTTTGGGCAAAAGCTGGAGGGAAAGAGCTAGAAGGCCTTGTTCCAGTGGGACCGCATCATGGGCTGGAACTGGCTGACCATCTCAGCCTGCTGAGCCTCCAGGCGCCAGTACCTGGCCTTGGACTCCCGCACGTCTTCCTTCTGCTTGGAAAGCCTATGCTCCTAGTCCTCAGTGAGGTGCTTCTGCTGAGCCTCCTTCNCTCCCTCCCTCCCTCCTTTCCTTTCTTCCTCATCCATCAAAAACTTCACATGCATATTTAGTCTTTGTTTTCACTTGACGTTGTCTCAGCCTATAAAAATGCATAAAGGCAGCCTAAAGGTTCTGCATTCTACTATGTTGTAGTGCAGATAACCACAGTTTTAGCATATACAATACATGCTTTGTACTTTGATGGTCCAAATAATACCCAGAGTTCAGGGATTTAGCCAAGAGGTGTGGTATAATCTTATTACTTTCAGAATTGCACTATGGATTTCACTGCCAAGGAATATAGATTTCCTTGCGAGAATCATAAAACACCACAAATCACTCCTGTGATAAACTAGGAATAATTCATTTAGAATAGGCATGGATTCTAAAATGCTCTGAAAATATATTTGCTATATCTCTAGTAATTTATTTTTAGAATAGTGAAGGCGTGGACAAATAATTTTATCACACTTTAGAGTATCTGTCTATCTCTATCTCTATTTTTTTTTTACTTTTATTTAACATTCTGAATGGACTTGGAAGGGGATACCGGAATTTCATATCAAGCAGTTATTAGTTATCACTGGTCGGTTGACTGGCTGACAACTTGACCTTGGCCTAGTTAAGCCTTCTACATCTGTGAGAAAATGACTGAGAATCAGCTTCAAGCTCGAATGAATTCAGATATCTGTCTACAGAATTGAAGTACAGAGAAAATGCTGTACCTAAAATACTACATTCTATCATGAACATTCTTTTGAAAATGGCAGTAAGTCACAACACCCTTTCATCTGGCATAAACCTTACACAACTTTTAGTTATTCAGTATGTGGAGCAAGAAGGATAGCAAAAGGGATTAAGGAGTTTCAAAGCAGGGATATAATATTTAAATATCTTGAATAGAGCCTAGGGCTTTTTAAAATATGTATCCAAATAGACTGTTTTCAGTAAAAGCCCATTTGTGCAATACTCTTCAAACTCATTTACAATTAGCTTAATTGTATAAATTTTCAGTAACAAATGAAGATCCCTCTGTTTACTCAAAGTTTGATGAAAATGGCACTGGTGTATTGTCATTTTTTGTTATTGATGTTCCATACCGTGTAATAGGGTTTTAAACAGTTTTACAGTTTTTAAAATTGCTGGGTTTAATTTGCTGCATCTTTGCTTTGGAATTATTTTATCATAAAAAAACAGTTAGAAATTTTGTAAACCTGAAGTTCCAAAAGATTTTCCATACAGCTCTAAAACTGAATNATTTATATTTATTCCATATTCTAAGAACTGCCTACCAGACATAATGATTTTTGAAATCTTCATTTACCTTACCTTTATCATAAAATCCATGCCATTCAAATCTTAAATTATGTCCTTCTAATTCCATTAGGCTTTTATTTCTTAACATAGTCTTTCATCCAAGCTAAACAGCAGGCAGCAAAATGTAATTCCAAATCTGCTGGACCCAATCCCCCTTTTCTCTTTTCATCTTGTAGAACCGTATATTTAACTTGAGTTCCCCAAAAAACCTTATAAATATATTATTTGGCCATTGTTTAAATGGTACATCAGTTGTATTTATGTGAATGGTTTCATATTTGGATTCAGAGCTGTGCTCACGTTTAGACGAAAAACAGTATGGCAGCTGTGAAAAAGGCAAATTATTTTATCTAAGCAATATAAATCACTTAAGTAGTTAGAAGTCTCTGAAGTGTCAACTTATTAGCCTGATAAATTAACAGACAATCTTTAATAACACAGCCTATCAACTCTCATATGAAAAAGATCCTGATACTAGAGAAATGGGACCATTAAAAATACATTCACAAGGATTCATTTACTACAAAAATTTTATAACAAAATAAAATTTCTTTCATGATTTCTTTCCTTGGAGGGTATTCGACTGCTAATCCTAGCATATGAAGAATCCATTTGTATTAGTAAAATAATGCTAGTAATGCTTTCAAATATGATGCATTTTATTTTACAATCAATGCTGAATTTTTTAAAAATGATATCATAGTCCTATATATAAGTTCCTTTGATAGTGTTCACAGAGGCTTGTCTTTAATGGTAGGAAAGGAGATTTGCAAGATTAATGATGGCCTTAACAGGTTGACCAGAGATGAAATGTGGCCAAATAAGCTAATCCTACCACTGTTTTCAGGGGTATAATGGAATTGAAGAATTTCATTTGGTATGCAAGCCATCCATGAGTTGAGTGGCCAAAGCTGCAATGGCACTGAAAAAAATGACTTACAACTGGTCCTGCACTGTCACAATTGTTGCAGCATCCTTGTGGTCACATGATCAAAATCCAAGCGCTTAGCATCCGCCATGTATTTATGGGAGTTGCAATATCACTTTTTTGCAACCTTCCCACCCAGCTTCTGACAAGCAAAGTCAATGGCGGAAACTGGATTCATTTAATGACTGAATGATTCACTTAACAACTGCAACGATTCGCTTAACAGCCATGGCAAAAAAGGTCATAAAATCAGTCATGACTTACTTAACAACCACCTCACTTAG